ATAAGTTTAACTAATATATATCGCGTTTTAAACTGTTAGTGTTTTATTTAAATACGCCGTTTTGCAAATTTAAAATAAACTTTCAAGTTCCAATTTTTAAAACACACTTTAACACGTTTGTAGACATAGTTAAATTTATTGAACGTATTATATTGTTTATTAATTACCATAAGTGTTCCCAACGATAAAAATGAAATGTCACAAATTTTACTAAGATACCTAAGATATAAATTATTTTAGTCTTTTAAAATAAGCTTTTGATTGTTATTATTTGCACTATAATATACGTATATAGAAGCGTAAGTTTACACTAATTTTTATTTCCAATTAATGTATCTTATATTTTAGTCGTATCATCAAATAACGTATCTATTTAACCAAATGCAATACAAGTTTCCCTACTTATTCATTTATTTATAAATACATATGATTATCTCAGTCATTTCCTGTCTACGCAATCGGCTACATAGTAAAACTTATCTCCGCTCGATCTGAAAGAGTCTCATCAAATAATTTTGCCGCCAAAACCCGTTTAAATGTAATATCCATTAAAAAGGAATCCGCTGTCAGTAGCTCAATAAAACCAGAAATTCTAGAGTCACATGTTTATCCTTTAAATCAATTTTATCACGTCTTAAATAAACTTAGCTTTCCCTCTTTTGCGAGCATCTGTCTTCGTATTGTCTCGAGTGATTTGTGATACCGGCATTGAAAGGAGACAGACGTAGAGGATCGTGGCGCGCGGAAGCGGGACGGAGTGAACCCCACCAATTAATTAAAATGGTGCACAGTGTCTATGGCGTTTTCGGTTATTTTTTCAATTTTTATTCTCACGCGGAAGGCGAATTCCTGAAATAACTCTTCACACCGATACTCGGACATCTGAGTTACGTAAACTTCGGCGTCTTTGGCGTTTTTTATAGCTCTTTTATTTTAATTGTTCCGATTTTTAATCGGAGAAAACTCAATAAAATTGCGTTATAGGACTTCAAGTAAAGTTTTATAATTTGTTTTATAACACGTTTCTACTTAAGTCAATACTTTTTTTTTAATTTCGGGTACTTCGTTATGTAATAACATTTTTATTACTCGCTTTCACCAATGCGGTGTGTTGAAGAATTTAGTTTATAAAATTCGCGATTATTACGGAAATGCTATAATTTCGTTATTGTGTTGTTTAAACAATAACATGACAACATTACATTTGTAAATAAAAGTAAGTCGCAAATGTATCACGTAAGAATCATAGCACGTCTGTACACATTTAACAAGCTTTATACACCATAATTGGGATTACTCCCAACACTGGGCGTGAGATATCATCTAGTATTGTTGGCATCGCGAGGTGTCACGTACATTGGTACATAATTGCGGTATAAAGTGCTATCAGATTGTCGCCTTGGCTTTCGCCTACTTGTTTGTTTGAAAATATTTTAACGAATAATTCACGCAACTACGCTCGTTAAAATTAGATAACCTTTTAAATTGTAGTTTTCATTAAAGTAATTCTGTAAAGGAGGTTGCGAACAAACAGGTAAAGTTCTGATTTACCGTTCACTTATAAAAAAGACAACAAGATGCTTTAATACTTTTTAGGAAACACTTTAGAAATATGCGGCAATCAAAATTAGTCAATCTCAGATCTAATGTAAAAAAGTTACTACCTATCTATTCATACTAGATTTCAAATCATATACATATTATCTAAGATATATTTTCCTTAAACAAAATCGGTCGAATTATCTCATATTTCCGGAGCATTTAAAAATAATGTTATACCAACATTTAAACCCGGTAAAACCTAGAAATAAAAATGTTACGCTAAAAAAATAATCTTACATACCAAAACCAATATTGGTATTTTATCTTTCATCAACTGAGCCACATGTTTGTCTGTCTATCCACATCTATGAAAAATATCTGTTCTTATTTCAAGCTACGTGAATCTCATCTTCATTTATAAGAACGCCACGCATCTGTTAGATGTCCGCCATTTTAGAACATTTGAATGCGTAACTAGTAATAATGGCGCGCAAAGCGTAGATCGCCGATAGGCGTCAGTTACATCTCTTTGTAAGATTAACAATTGCACGGGTTCAAACCAGTTTTGTGTGTAATGAGAGATTTAATCTTTATGTGTACGCTGAGGCGTGATGGCACCCAATCTATGTGTGAAATCCCGTTTCTCATGAGGGACATGGGGCAGACATTTCTTTCCTGCTTAGCCGATCCATACAGGCAAGACTTCTGTGCCCTTTACGGACACAAAGTATCTTGTATTGACTATGGTATTGCTAGCACAAAACAATATAATTATTATAAAGTCAAGAGTGTGTTTGTCCGCGTTATTCTGAGTAATTACTTATCCTATTGAACAATTATTCAGTTGCGTGGCCTTATTCTAACAGTAGGTATAGTTTAGAATCTACAAATGAAATACTACAACCAAGTAATATGTTATGTCAAAAATTAGCAAAAGTATATGTTTCTCCGACAGCATATGTATATGTTTAAACGGGTTAACCCATTTCGACTTGATACGACTTAAATCTGAGCAACTTGGGCTACGTGAAGTTTTAATCAATAAGTACCTATATAACCTCCGTTGTATTGCTATACACTAATTAAATGTGTGAAGATGGTCGCTCCAATAACAGTCTATCTCTTATTTTTTAATTTGGTGGGTTTATTTAATTATGAATGAACAAAAGGAAACACGTCTCAGTCAATAGATTTATCTATATATTTTAATGATGAATAGTTTTTAATACAGCTGTCGAATACAGTCTCATTTTATCTCTTCAAAGCTTTTTACATTCTGTAGAAAAATGGCGTTGCCCCTATCATAATTCAAATCACTGTTGTTGCATAAACCGTTTATCTATTCGAGTTCAAAATTTAATGCTCTTAAATTAATGAATTCCATGGAAAATTATATTCATTTATAATATTATATTTTGTATTTTAACTACAAGTATCAACTATATATTACAAAATTTTTAACTTACATTAGGGTTCATCAATTGTTTTTATAGAGTGCGTTCAATTGTTCACAGAATCAAAACACTTTTAATTTATCAGAAAACACGATATAAAATCTAATGCCTCATTATAATACTTTTTAGGTTAGTTTATTCGATAAAGAGAATCTCGGTTTTGCGAAAGATATGGCGCTAAAAAAATTGACAGTGACTCTAGATAGAGAGAGATAAAAAATATAACAGTGTGACGTTGCACAGATAAAACAAAACGTTTTCAGCCAAGACAGTCATATTATGACTATATAATTTAAATTAAGAATGGGTTATATTAAGGTAATACTTTTTAGATTATTTAAATCAAATATCAATAACAGGGAAGAGGTATATTTAAATTTTTTCTTCGTAAGTACCGAGATTCCCTTTGAAACATCGTGAAAATATTATTTTCGCATGCAACAACCAAACGCACTGAACTCACAGCACAATTGATAAAACATATTTTCAAAATATGTCTAATAATAATAAACACGTAAATATACCTTATAAATTGTATTTACACGATAGATCTTATCACTATGCTAAGTGGGAGATAAATGATAAAATATGACGACGAAGAACCCTCTAGGCGATATCATTGTAAAATAATATAAATCGTTTAATTTATTTCATTTTGGGGGGCAATTCTCAGAAAAGTAGTCTAAGATTTATCTATCTATTTCTTTTCGAGAATTACATCCCACTTTGTTTATAAAATTAATAGACATTAACACAAAAATTAACAGATAATAATTTCAGATATCGCCTGAGTTGATTCGTCGAAAATAATAACTATTACTATTGCGGTGTAGACTATGTGATAAATGATATTTATGTGATCGACTACTAGTTCGAATAATGACGTCACGGGACACCTACATTATGAAACATTAAAATATACATACTAAGCATACTTAGTATGCGGTATTAGTTTGACAATTAACATGTAATATGTTAACTTGTACAACTGTGGTACATCTGTGGACAATGTTTTTTTTTTGGTAAGAATACACAAAACAATATTTTTTTTCATCAAGTTCCCATTTATCTAAAATACTGTACATAAAATAAGGATTTAATTTGTCAAGTTATATATCTTTTTGAATTCATAAACAACGCGATTACGTACAAAGAATTGCAATGTTAACAGTAAAACTCATACTACAAGATAAAAAAGTCTAATAGCCACAACACTATTGTCGAATAGTGAAACATCACTAAAGTAAAAAAATGATAACAATTTTATACCCAATAGTTCTTATTGGTGCATTTTACACATCTTTATTTAAAACCCAACATATACATTTTTTGGAAGTGATAAAGAAAGTGAGGTACCCACGTGACTGTCAATCCACGAACATTCTCTAAGGCCTGAAGCACATATACGACGTTTCACTTTGATGCAGGACACAAAAGTGTATGATATTATTTTAGATTTTCTAATCAAAAAAAAAGAGATAATAATCAAACCCTAACCGACTCAAACTTTTTCATAGTATCTTTATCTTCAATGGTAGAAACATACAAAAATGTACGACTAATAATATTATTAATAGAAATTGTATGCGTTGATTGTCAAGCTGAACTTCAATATCGCCTGATATGTCATCCACTCGTGATGACGAAACGACGAGTTCCGCTCCTCAATTAGGTACGATGGTGGAAACGCTTGAAAACCCTATGCTCTAAAATGTCTTTATTGACTGGTTCCAAAATATGAAAACGCTAATTATAACGACAGACCTTCTGCATCCAGGCAGTTGAATAAAAATAACATGTCCTGCATGGAGTGAAATGTCGTACCTGCACGGCCAGGCAAAACAACCATCTATAGTGTAAGCTTATTAGTAATTAACTATTTACATGATCCGATCGACCCGAATAGAACTCGACAGAAAAACAAAATAGGAACGATACAAAACGACATCCCCGGCGGGGTCCTATAAATACACTCTATGTACACGGTCACGACTTGGTCGCGAGTCAGTCCTGAGTTTCCACGTCGAGGCCGTTCACCATCCGCTCGATGCTCTTGAGGTCAGACGCGGGAGGCGTCGTCGGGGTCGTCGTAGAGGTGGGGGCATCCGGCGGGGGGTCAGCCGAGGCGGCCCTCGCCGGCGGTGACCCCACTCGCGGCCGCGCTGGAGACGATGACAAGCTCCTCGCTCTAGGAGCGACTTGTTCGAAGGCCGATCCAAGGCCCGGTAGAGCGTACGGCGCAAACCTGTGCGTTTTGCTCAGCGACGGGGCGGGGGCCGGTGCCGGCGGCGCGGGAGGGGGCGGCAGAGAATACTGCTGCAAGAGGGGATGAAGGTTGAAGAGGAGCCCGGGAGGCATTTGATGCGGCGGGAAGAATGGCGGCGGATATAACGATGGCGGATACAGATATGGTAAGAGAGGCGGTTGGACTGGGGGACCCAAAGAGACATCTGGTGCTGGAGAGGGTCTAGAAGGTCCTGGAGGAGGGGATTGCGCCCGGGGGCCCCCGGAGCAAGAGGAGTCGGATCCAGCTTCTTCGGGCCCGGAGTCTGCACCGCCTCCGCTCGATGTGAACCACGCTGTGAAAAAGAAATTATGTTAAAGTCTAGAAACTAAGTCAATGATGAAAGCATACGGAAAGAACTTATGATAAAGAATTTTGTGTCTGTCAAGAAGTATTAATGATTATGTTTAATTTCATCCATATATATTGAACTAGGTGTGCCCGCGACTTCGTCCACGTAGAATAGAGACTTAGGGTAGGATTATACTCCTACTCTAACTCCCACTCTCATTCCTATACTCACTCCTACTCTCACTCCCACTCCCACTCCTATTCCCAAAAAGCCAAAGAAGAAAGTTTCATTGTCCTGGCTTCAAAACCTACGTATCAACCCTTTCTCAGGCTCTAAGATATCTGCGTACCAAATTTCATTTAAATCAGTTAAGTAGTTTAAATAAAACACTTTAACGGTTTAAAACGGCGATATATTAGTTAAACTTATTTGAAAATGATTTTTAACTTCGGCCCGACGTTTCGGATGCTTTGCAGCAGCCGTGGTTACCGGGGAAACATATTTAACTAATATATCGCGTTTTAAACCGTTAAAGTGTTTTATTTAAATGTGTACTACTCGCGTAAACTATAGACAGTATTCAGTTAAGTAGTTTTCAGAGTTAAAGCCGGACAGACAGACAGACAGAGTTACTTTCTCATTTATTATATAAATTGTGTCAAATTTTGAGCTAGCGAAATAGATATACAACCATTATGTTAAAAACTTTAACCTGTTTCGTAGGAAATTAATGTAATTTAATTTAATTTTCTTAGATTAATTTATGTACTTACAGCTGGTGGAGTGCTGGGTGGTGGGCGCTGGTGGAGGTGGACTCGAAGGGCCCCCTACGTCCAGGGGGCGTTCGTCGTCGTCATCTCTCGTGTCAGACCTCGCCGTCAACAACGCCTGCCTGCGGTACACCGACAGACTGCTCGTGTTATCATTGTGCATTATAGTACTAAAAGGGGGTATTACCGTTTAATGGGAGGGGGTATTTGTCAATCGCGTTGATTACACAGTGACTCAATTGGTTCGGCTTTGGTACGCTTTGGTCGTGGGTTCTACCATCGCTATTTTATAGTGCTTTGTGATAGTGTTAAGTGAACTTTTGGTATCAATTATCTTGTTCTATCATTAATTATATGACATATATTACGTAGTTATATCTACATAATAAAGTTAATACATAAAATTAAATTTATTTTATATATCTATTGTTTTTTCATCGATATATATTTGTGCGTAAATAACAACTTATTCTAAAGCATTATTTGCTTGAAAATGTTACTAAAATAATAAAGTTAAACAAGCATAAAAATGATATATTATTTCAGTCTACAAATAAAACCTACAGAGGTTTTATATCTTAAATCAATCACTAGCCATTAATAAAATTACCTATTATTTTTTATGAAAAATAATATGGAAGTAATACTATCGGCTTTTATTTGATCAAAGCTTGACCTTTCAACAAATTTTAGAAAGCTCATCTTTGGCGAATCGATTCTGGTCCTTGCTATAAAAATAAAACCTCAAAGCGAGTTAATTGCACGATTTCACATTATACCGCACGTTAATTATTCGTGGACATTTGTAAATTAGTGCAGTTGAGTCGGCAATGGTTTTTAGTGTGATCGTAAATATCTTAGTCTCAGTACTTAAACGAATAAAGTAATAAACAGAAATACATTGGTGTCGGCTCGAATTACGACTGTTTTTATTGAGGCACTAATGTTTTATTGAATTTATCATTAATTCATAATATAATTTGTTATCTAGTTGTGTAGTATTTACTAGAAAGAAAATAGTTTAGGAAGCTAACGAACGTGTGCAAAGTGGTACAACAAACAAATGCAAAACAGTGTCTACAATCTTTGGCAAACAATACGTATGACGCTTTTCCGTGTTGAATTAGTTTTTTTGAAATTCGTGTAAGTGACGCCCAAATTAAGTGTGACTAATTTTGTTAAGTTTTAGACTAGCGATAGCGCGATATTCAAAGTTATAGTTTCACTATAATTTATTTCTATTGGTTGTGACCAAGTCTAAAATATTGAAATGATTCGATTACTGAAAACAGGGAAAATATATTTAAGAAACATATTTAGATACAAATATATAATATTTATTCTACAGAAAAGTGTTACACCGCGCCATAATAAGTAAAATGGGTGCCCACGATTTTTTTTAAACTAGTTATGTACCTACTTCCTTACTCATGCTTAGAACCCCGATATTTATATAAGAAGTGCTATGAGACGAAAATCTTTTTAAGAAATTTAAGGATTCTCAATATAAGCCAAAATTCCGCGCGCTTAAAAATGCCACAATATACATTTAGCGAGGGGTGTCAAACGGTTGACATTTTGGTTAATGGGCCACCGCGACCCTTGAAAGGTTAATCATTTCCTAATGATAGTGCGGAAACCCGTCTGTCGCGCCCTTTACCGCGGTTATTGCTTACGTCAAAATAAACTTTGCGGCGGAAATATTGACGCGACGTCTTCAAAACTAATTGACACAAAGTCAACTAATCCAACATATCTATAGATATATTAACCTCGATTTCTGTCGTGTTAGTAAAACAATCTCTTATTTTTTGTATTCTAGAGGACAATATATAATGCATAGCATAAAGAAGATTCAACCTAATTTGCCTTGACATAGTAGTATCCGCAGACTCAAACTGGAAGGCAGATTTGCCGGAATTTAGATATTTCTACCACCCACGTAATATCCAGATTTCCCAGACGAAGTCAAATTGACTTATAATATTCAGAAAATTACATTTATCAACTTCAAGTAACGTGTTGAAATCTTGGAATTGAACCCCCATACATTGTTACCATGGGTCCAACGAGGCCGTCAACTCGTTAAGAGAAATTACGAAAAGCCTTCTGACTAATGAGAACTAAAAAGCATTTTTGCAAAAGTGCAACACTGTCACGACTGACAAAGTTTGCCATCTGTAAAAAGTTTGTGTATTGTTTAGTCCCCAAACACTTTGAGGCCAAGCTGGGAGCCTGATTACCGGGGTTCTGCTAAATTCATTTTATTAACTCATCTCATCGCCTGATAGAATTTAATTTAACCACCCCCTAGCGGCAGGGTTGGTATTTTCAGAAAATATTGGGAAACAGAAAATTTATAATTTAATCAATATATTTATCAATTATAAAATATATTCCAAACTGGTGTGACTCTGGGTATATAAGTTTGCTAGCCATCGTAATGATTAAGAAAGAAAAGCTATGGTGTAAATATTACATATTATGTTATATCAATGTATGACTGTAACGAATAGCTTATTTATATAAACAAGTGTTGAAAAGGACGAATGCTCACAATTCTTAATCGTTTATTATAAAGATTTTCTAAACAAAACAAGGTACTAGGCCAATTTAAGTGAAAATGGTGTTTTAAGAAAGCTTGTGGCAGCCCTAATTTAAACAGTCCGCATTAGGGTGTTCACGTTACAATGTAAACTGTGCACCGCGGCCAGGCCAGGGTGGTGACGCGCTCCTTGTAATTTCACTAAATTTTTTATCCCCAAATTGATCCCCTGCCACCCTCCGGTTTTATTGAGCATATTTTTGATGATACATTTAACAATATTGTTTTGATTCTGTTTAAATTTATGTGACGATGTTTTTGTTATGATCGTATTGATTTGTCGCTTGACTGAGATTTATTTGGGTGTGTATGGATTTGTAAATTTAAGTACAATAAACTTTTAAGTTGATATTGAATCTTTTTGTTTTATAGTTGATACTTAAACTATATTTTTTAAAAGTAGAATCAAACAAGTATGTGCTTTTATTAAAAATATATATATCGGTAAGTATGTTTTAAATTTGTATAAGACGTAGGTATAGGTTATGTTATATTGACTTCGATATATCTTCAAAGTAACTAAGAAGGCCATGACTACTTGCTCTAGGTAGAATAGTAAAAGTTATTTTATGACTATCAAATATCCAATGCGTTGCAGCATTTCATTCAAAAGTGTTCTTTAACTTTGAGGATGCTAGTCAATTTGTAAATTTAAAAAACAGCAACGAAACAGAACAACGAACACAAAGGCTGCGCTGAGATATGCGGCATGTGTCGTGGCTTTTCACGTGGCGTTTATCAAAACGCTCACGTTTCCCGCGCTTCCGGCTCGGCGGCCATTTTGAAAAGACGAGCTTCCGGTGTCCGACGGCGTATGCCCTTTAATTCGGACGCTGTGGCCTGGCAAATCCGGTGTAAAATGTTGTGTAAGCGAATTAAAGATGCCTTCCTGTATGTTGTAAATATCTAACAAAGGCGAATTTCGTCTAATAGGCTGTTTTGTTACGGGGGTCTGTTTATTTTAACGAGCGAGTTTTTAAGCCCTCAGGAATTTTTAAAAGAGAATAAAAATGATCTGCGAGATCGGACGATTTATTAATTGATATTTAAAGACAAATCTCTCAATTAGTCGCATAACGACTTAATCTCTCGGCTCGAACTCTAATTGAGTCCTTGTTCGTTGAAATTCAAATAGGTAAGCGGAACCGCAATCTCCCATTGCGGTGTGCTATCAAATTATGCGGTGAAAAAAGTCTAAAGCTGATTTTATCGCGGAAATCCAATTTTCTCCCTCGCACGCTAAAGACGTTGGAAAAAGCGCCAAGTCGAATGACTCCTCCGTTTCGGAGCCCGCCATGTTTAAATCCCGAACACGAATGAGGAGGCGCCGGATTGGTTTAATTTGAATTTGGAACGGCGTCGTTCCCGAAAGTGGTGCGTTCAGAAACGTTGTTACCCTAATTAATTTACAGAGATTCACAGATAACGCGCTAATTTCGTTATCTGTTTAATTTTGAATATCTGTGGCGTCATTATTATTACGCAGTGTTTGCCAGCTATCATACCTCACGATAATCTATACATGTGTGTCATAATAAAATCATTCTTTTAATTATTTAATAAAGACCTACTTCATTTATGGAAGCCTTCATGTGGAACAATAAATTTGCTATCATAACACATAAGCGGAAATCTTATAATACACTAGTTCCGTTCAAACTACCTCTATCACATTGCACTATTCCATAAAATAAAATGGCAAAATGCTTAGCTTTTACAAGGTTTATATACTTACTTCTTTTCTCTTTTCCCAGCTCCCGTGTCTCTAAATCCTTTCGCAAAAGGATTATTGTCAATCTTCAATTGCGTTATCTGGAAAAGAAATTAACTTTAATACCAATGTTACTATGCCGAAAAATCTCTATAACTTCTTATAATTACGATGAAATATTAAAACTCAAGTTCTTGACCGTGATTATTTGTTCAGTTTAAATAACTAGATCTGAAAAAGACTTTTTTTATAGCAGAGAAACACACGAACTTTAGATTATTAATTAAACTTCTTTTAATTAAGCATTAGATATCTTACCTTTTCATTCTGGTAGGCAGTGACTGCGATGAACTCCGTCTCTTTGAAGACGTACGTCCTGAAGGTGGAATAGGGCAGCTTCAGGATGTCGTTGGCTCTCACCAGGTGGAACCGGGGTTGGTACTTGTGCATCGAGTTCAGGATTGTCTGCGTAACACACTTTAGACAGCTTAGGAACTTGACCGGATTACTTAACATTCGTTTTGATACAAAGTTTAATACAAATTAAACACACACTAGAACCAAGGCTACGCGTAACCGTCTATCAACTACGCTACGCGTACATCAAATAAATGAAACTAATTTGGTCTATTATTAATATTTTAGTTCATTCCTTTATATCTGTACCATATAATACATACATAAATTGGCCCAAAATTAAATTTACTATCAATGAATGGCCTTGACAGAGGCAGGTATATAAAGGTATGTATAAAATGTACTTTTGTTTTTCTATATCGCAAGGGCCATTTATATTTATGTCTTTCATGGACCGGATTCAAACGTTTGTTGCACTTTCAACAGCATGGTTTTTACCTCGTACTGAGCCACGAAGGCAGATTTATAGTAATTTAGGGAAAGTATGCAAATTTTGCATAACTAGGTGTATTCTTTGTTTTACCGAGAAGGGAGGTGGTTTTAGTTAAATAAGATTTATCCGAAGTTGTGCTCATTTCGTTGATTCATTCGACATTTCGTTTTGTGTATAGACAGCAATATTAGACAGGCCAAAAGGTCAAATTATTTACGAACGTTTTATTGTAATTTTATTTAATCGTAATCTAACTTCAGCGAACATTGACGCTTTTTGATCCCATGGTAACTTTGCATAGTTAGACACGACTCATGAGTTAGAACCTTACTTGCTCTCAAATATCTAAATGGTTTATCGAATATCCAAAGTTCGTCTGACACTCGAACCACAGTTTATAGATGGAAAAGTATAGGTATGTGGATTACTGAATATCTGATCCAAAATAGGTCGATGGACCCTTTACGACTGGGACCTTTCACCATACACTAAGTGAACATGATTTCCAGTCGTTTCTGTCATAAAAGAAAAAAAAAGAAGGATTTAACCTACATTACAATCACTCTAATAAATATACATCGCCCATACACGTCGTTATACTTTCAAAAACATTATACTTAGATTAATAGGTGCCTTTATATGATAGCTTTAAATATTCACCTTCAAGTTCATTGATACGAGCTAAAAATGACAGGGTTAGGGAAATTCGGTTCAGGTAATAACAGAGGTGACCCTATTCTAAGTTAAATTGTGGGACATTACGTGGTCCGCTGTAATAGGCGTGTTACAATGATACTTTGCATTTTTAGTAGACATTATTACATTTTATACTTGCCTAGTTACACCTTGGTTTATTGAACCACTTATTTGGGTTTGGTGAAGAGGCGTTCGTGTAAACTTTGATATATGATTTTACTGATAAACGTGGGATTTATTTCACGGAAAGCGAAGGACTTAAGCCAATAATATTTAAACAAGTGTCGCTGTCGATATTTTTTTGGACATTCAAAAATCTACAGACTGAAATCGACTTCTTCGGCTATTTCATCTATGGATGGTGGTTCGTGACCCGGACAGAATTTTGATATATAATAATACCAGACGAGCCACGAAGCCGAATGTGCATAGAAAATTGCAATTTTTTTCATAGAAAAGGATAGTTAATTTTAAAGATTTGTTAATATTTATTTAGTTATGGCAATAATAAAGATTGTAATACAGTAGTTTATTAATTTGTACATGTCCAGTACACATATATTGAGAGTTGTTTTATTGATTACATTACTCTTTGAACGTTAAAAGCTCCTTGATTTGAATTTGCAAGTTTAACGAATTTATAATAAGTTACCTTTTTATATTATACCGAAGAAGGCCTTACAGTATTGAGTTTTATATTCTCTCAATTACAAAATCGGTCTGATTTTTATTATATCCAAGATAAAACACCTGGACACCGCGCCTTGTTTTCAGCACAACTCTCTATTGAAATAAACTCTTCCCAGTGGGTACAAGTCGGTCTTCTTTATAGTCTTAAACTGGACAACATATGTAACACACGTATTACATATAAATATTCAATATGCAGATGTATATACGTTAACTCCTAATGAAGGTAACATGCATTATAATTCCGCTACTGTATAATCTAGATAAATGCAGACATTGTTACCTCTGTGTATTGAAATATCTATTTGTATGCTAAGTCTCGTAGGCAGCACTATGCGCTTTGTAAATCAATTTATAACGCTGTCAGATGTTCACACAATGGGAATATATCTTTGTTTACAATTACACGAAAATCTTATCCAGATAATATATAATTTAATAATATTTTCTTATTTTTATCTGTGGTGGTCGGAACTTCAAAGTTAGGTTCTATTGTCTATGCCAATCTGTAATTGTCAACTTTATCCGCCCTTGTAACTTGAGGTCACGAATCTTACCTACTTATTTTAATTCATATTATTATATAATTTAATTCGTCTAAAAACATTTAAAACTTGGTTCTTTTTAGTTTACATGAATTATGATTGTATTTAATTATTTATCTAGGCATTTCATATCTAAGATAATCATTACTGCTAAGCAATGACAATTGACGTTGAGTAACAAGAATTGCTAGGTATTGTCTGTAGTTCTCTACACATTTAATGAAAATACTTAACGGTTTAAAGCACGAAATAGTTATCTTATTTTTCATTTATTTTACGGCCCAAATTTCGAATGCTCTGCAGCAGCCATGACCGTCCTCCCATGACCACGGTTGCTGCAATTATTTAATTAAGAATTGCTAATTAAGTTGTCATGATATAATTAGTAAGTAAAAATAGTTACGTTTCGTTTTATTATCACCGACTTTTACTTCATTGGTTTTCAAATTCATGTTAATGTTATTGACATAGTTTACAGAAACGTAGCAAGTACTTAATCAATAATTTTTTGTGGCAATTAATATTAATTGACACTGTAGCTAGCATGCGTAATAAGACACCTTTTTGTACATTGAAATTAATGTAAATTATGTATATGTGTATGTGCACAAGTAGGTTATTACAAAATTTTCCTATACCGTTTTTGTTGATTGTAAAATACTGTATTTGTACTGTTTATTGGTAATTATGTCAACTTTATTAAGACCTAATAAACATTTAGCCTTAAGTGTCGTACAGATGACAGATGATCTGAAAATAGGGATAACAACTTACTACTTTTCAAAATTTATTAAAACAAAATAGTTTTCGAGCAAATGAAATTACAGTTTGAATGCGTTTTTGTTACTTTGGCGAGTATCTGAGAATAAATGTCATATTATTGATCCATTTTCTTCACGGAAACAATTTAGCATGTTTCCTCGGAATTCAAACCCACGATTCTTAACGCAGGCAACGCGTAGGTGTACTAATGATTCATGTGGGCGATTGCGCCAAAGGAGAGACATTTCTATATCATACAAAGGTAAGAGACAATAATTCTAGTTGGATTACATTCGAACGAAGATTAAAAACTAATGTGACTACAACACTGAAAAGATTGTTTGAACGCGCTAAGCTCAGGAATTGCTGGTTCGAATTGAAAAGTTATAATTGTGTTGGTCAGAGCATTTATCGAGAAAAGTTGAGACCAATAGAGGCGAAGAAACAGTGAAAAATGTGGAACACACGAAGGAAATTTGGCTTTAAGGACTGCGTGCGCTGCGATAACGGTTCAAGAAAACCAAAAATTTGTAAGAGAGAATGATCCCTCCTCAAGTGATCTATAAATTCTGCGACAGTATACGTCTATCTTTTAAGATTAACCTGCAAAAACGACGGGACGCGGATGTCGTGGGCAACAGCTTAAATTTATAGAGTTCAACACGGAGTTTGGAAAAAACAAAATTCGATGGCCAAAATATTACGCGCACGAAGTCGCTGACACAGCTAGTCATTTATATAAAGGCATGCAACGTTAACTATGTTTAAGTGTGTTCTTCCCATCCTCATTAATTTGTCGAGTCCCGCAAGAATTAAAAGCAATTTGAGTAATTCAATGAAATCTGAACGTGCGGGCGCACGTCCATTATAGCACTTACACAGTTTAATTTGTTGTATCTTTAATGAAGCTTAAAAGATTGTGGAAACTATGAAAATTAATGAAAGACAGCCGTCTGGTACATGTACCCGATTTATGTTTCGAGGTTGGGAGTTCGATTTCCGGTCGTGCACAAATTATTATCCTTATGTTACATCCTATCATGAGTGTTCCATTGTTGGTCAGGATTTTGGTGATAAGGAGAGAAATCAATAAGAATGGTAACTTGATAGCAATTTTAATTTATCTAAATTCCGAGTCTATCAAAAGTTTTTTTTTTTAACTACAAGATACAATAAAAAAAGACAGCCCTAGACTGTCTATAGTTACGCGGGTAGTACACATTTAAATAAAAACTTTAACGGTTTAAAAGCGATATATTAGTTAAACTTATTTGAAAATGATTTTTAACTTCCATTCGATGCTTTGCACAGCCGTGGTCACGGGAACTCACCAAATCCACGTCGGGCAAGTTAAAAATCATTTTCGAATAAGTTTAACTATATATCGCGTTTTAAACCGTTAAAGTGTTTTATTTAAACACCCTAGATTCTCTGATCAGTATAGCCTTGTGGACTGAGAAGTCTTCTTAAGCCTAGAGTACTATCGATCCGGGCCCTTTTTGCCACCTGAAACCTACTCTCGTTGCATCGAGTAGGTAATGTACCCTTAATGTTTATACAAATTTTTGGCCATTCAAATAATGTATTTTTTTATGATGACAAATTAATTAATATTTTCCTGTCTTTCTTTCTTTTAAACGTGAAATGTTGCTCGGTAGCCGTACTGTTGGCTCGTATTTAGTAAAAAAAGTAAAAAGATAATTCGCTTTTAAACTGTTAAAATTGTATATTTAGATGTTTATTTGCGTAAACTACAGATAATACTTGAAATACAGATATTAAGAATATCGCTGGACTGTCTTTACGATTGAATCGTGCAACTCAACCTGACCTCAGCAATGACGTCACAATCTAACGAAGCGGTCAGACGAGGCCGTTCCGAAAGCGATAACGCGACGGAATTATAA